ACGTGAAATTTTATATAGTTTCACTAAAAATATCATAGTGTTGTTACTTAAAAATAATTTTCATGAATTGATAGGAAGAAAGATAGAATGATATCTTCAAACTATCTAAAAATAATATCTTCAACTTGTATCAGTTTGAAGATATCATTCTTTCTAATATTTTTTTTTCTCACTTCATGAAAATTATTCTTAGATAAAAAGAAGAATGTAATATTTTTAGTGGAATTATATAAAATTTCTTCATATATAAGCACTCTTTATTTTTATAAGATTAAGATGATATATGTTTGCTTATATATGAGAGAATATGAGCCTTGAATTTTTTTCCATGCAAAACTACTGAAAAATAAATTTGATTAGATCTACCTGCCAATGGACAACCAAGCGTTTTTTAATTGAAAGAAACAAAATTTCTGGTTGTAAGAATCAAATTTGGTTTATGAGAACTATATTTTTTAAGAAATTTTATTTTCTTCAACTAAAACGTGTTTGGTTGTCCATTGATAGATAAATCCAACGAAATTCACTTTTCAGTACAAAATGTCATAACATAAAGCACTTTGACGATGAAATAATTAATGTATATTCCGTTGAACAACGTGACATTATCATTATTAGATGTTTCATCGTTCAAAATACCGATGTGCTTTTTTATTTAAATAACCGCTTCATGTACAGCAGCCTTCAGCATGCATCAATCCGATGTGGTGCGGATGATCGAATTCGCTATAAGATCTTTGAGTTTTTTCATTGGATCTTAGGAAGATTGTGTTCTAATTAACGCACAAACTGGTCCGACACTTGGCACGAAACCGCAGCATTCGCGAGACATTCTCATTGGCTCAAGAAGCTGTGTTTGAATTATGACCACGGATGATAAATCAGAGTTTCCTTCTTCCGTCATCGTGAGCAGCGGAGAAACGTAAGCAGAGGATGCGTGACACGTGGTCTGTTCTTTTCAGCTAAACTGGCTGCACTAGTTCAAGAAATTTACATATTATTACACATTAAAGCGTATGTGCGAGAGATCCTCACGTTTCAGTGTGTGTAAATTTCTCGAACTAGTGTAGCCAGTTCAGCTTAAAAAAAAGAAAAAAAAAGAAAACAGAGCAACGAACAGCACGCAGTTGGGGGTTTAAGTTCTCTTCTGCAAAACGTATGTCGTTGTCGGAGGTCGAAAAAATGCAACCGATGAGTCCGCAATGAGGGGATTTATTCAATTTTTTCGAAAACGGATTCCCCTCGTTGAAAACTATCGGAACTGCGTTTTGACGTCCGACATCTGACATTTTGTATAACAGGCCTTAGGATAAAATCAACTGCCGGTTCAAAGTCGCTTGAAGCAGCAGCCGAGCACAAATTCTGGCGCAGACAACAAGAGCGTGGGCATTCCGCGAGCGACCACTCGTGGTTCCTGTCATCCTCGCCGGCCGTGACAACGCTCTCGGAGGAAGGGGGGAGGGGGCGCGAGACAAGGCAAGAATGGCAAGAATGATTACGAGTGGTGCCCGCGCCGGCAATTACCGCGTGTTATATTAAAAGGTTGGACGACGCGCGCGACCCATTCCCACGAGAGAGAGATATGTGGTATTCTCGGGGGTCCTACGCCGTCTACGGCCGGAAGCGGCGCGGTTACGAAGGCGCGTTCACTCCTCGCGCATTGTTCCTCCTGGCGCATTCCTTCTCGGCGATGAACTTCTCGTGCCGTTCAACGCTCGTGAACGAGAACGTTACGCTCCGCGGCATGGATGCGCACCTGAGGGGGAAGTCGTGCCGGGAATGCCCGGCCGAAGGAACTCGCCGCCTCGCTTTTGACCCTTTCGGCGTGCGTGCCGTCTCGTACGACGTGTCAACGTGAACGATTCTTACTTTTGTGGAGAAAGGGGAACACCGAGGAAGCGAGTCGGCGACGACTGCAGGAAAGAAAAGTCACGTCACGGCGAAATCGACCTTCCGTCGGCGCAGCGGCGATATTGATTGTTCGATACTGGACATCGCCGCGGCGCGGAGATGCGAGGAAAAATAAGTGGAACATGCGAAGATCGATTTGCCCGTTATTTTACTGTAACGTCACCCGCGAGACGTGGGCAACCGTCATGTTGCCTGACGCAACATTATGTGATGCTTTAATACTTTAACGACGGCATGCGCCGTGTGTCTTAAAAAAGAACTTCGTTCTCTCGAAAGAGATAAAATGGATGACGCGGCAACGCGGGGAGTTTCGTACTTTTTAGAAAGATGTACCTCAAATAAACACCAACTAACGTTAATATTACATTAATGTTATAAATTTCTCACTCAACAATGTAAGTGTAATATAACGTGCGTTTTTTAAGGATGCATTGCTAATTAAAATTGTATTTTCAGTGAAGCATCAAGGCGACCATTCATTTAATATTTATCAAAGCAAAATTACGTTTGTATACATTTATTTTACTACCTAAATAATAAATGTTAATTTGAAGCGAAGTTAAGGTAGACACAATATTAATAATAAAATACGAAAATATTAGTTTTTACTTTTTCTAATAATGCTATATTCATGCATCCAGTTCATCTAATTCAAATACACAGATAATAGAAAGAAGTATATAAATATATGTATATGTATTTCGAGTATATGCATTATTATAAATTATGAACTTTGTATTGCTGTATTTTCAAAACAAAATGATCAATAATTCTGAAATTTGTGTATAATATCTGCATATTAGTTTTTAATATCATAGTAATTTTTTATCAAAATCTCATTTTTAGTTTAGAAGATATTAAAAATTGAAATAAAAATAGCACGCTAATTTCAAAGATGTATAAAAAGTGCTAGTTTTTAATAATAAATATCTCATCTCTCGAATAGTCAATCTTTTTCTAATTGCACGAGTAATGAATTAGTTAATATTTCAATGTATACGCAGTGCAAGTTCTGTCGAATTCTTATCAAACTCCTTTCACTTTACAACCTCCTTTAAAGCGGAATAACATTTGACCCAAGCTCTGAATTACCGTTAAACTTTTAAAAGCATTGTAGATCGATTTGCAATTTTCCATAATTTTTTCATTATTTATTTTAACTTATAAGCAATAATCCCTAAAACAGTTACACATTGTTAAGTAGGAAATTATAACGTAATCGCAATGTTACTGTTAATTAGTTTTTACCGCGAATTTTCGTACCAAGCCGGTATGATATGTAAATTACCATTGAGTTTCATCGCACGTACGTTGGAAGCTTTTCAATCGAAATGAACTCGAAATGAATCAATTGGTCAGTTAATGTGCATTGTATACGGATTTGCACTATAGCGTGTCCTTAATGTCGCAATTCGCCACGTACCGTTTCCGAGTGGCCCGAGTTTTCTAATCTCGCGGCGATTTCGTTTCCTCAGGAAATTTCGAAAGGGATTTCACAACGCTCAATATTCCGCTCTTTTCTCAAGAGAGCAAGAAGGCAGCGTCCGTCGCTCCTCCATTCCTTCTGTTTATATCTCGCCGCTAACGACTGACTGGTTGCGTTAGGTTCCTCGACCTTGCCGGTCGTACAGGTTTCAACTTGCAAGCACCTCCCGTGATATGCGTTTGCATATGTATTATACACCGGGTGCATCTGTATATGGCGACGTTGCTTATGTGGTCGTCGCACTGATACCATCGTCCTTTCTCCATTATCGGCGCGTTTCCAAGGAAACTCTTTTGATAAACGACGTTACCTTTGAAAGAAGAAAACTAATACAAGCATACGGTAGTGTATTTGACGCGACGATTTTATTATTGGTTTCTTTGCTATTTTATACCCAGGTATATATTAAATATTGCAACTTTTATACAGGATTTTTGATGTACAGATTTTTCATACTGAAGAAAGTAACTTTGTCCTTTACTAAAATTGCGTTCAAACAATCCGAGAAAGCTAAGCTTCGGAACGAATATAAGTGAAATTATCTTCTTCGGTCAATTTCAAGTAGACCCTACTTGAACAGAATGTTAATCTAAGGCTTAGCTTCAAAGATGCGTTATGTTGAAAATTGAAAAGTCATTTTAAATAATAACCTTTCTCGATTTTCGCAAACGAAAAAGTTACTTTTTCAGATATGACGAATTTCCCTGTACACTTCGCATGCGGGAATTTTGAGACGCTGTATATAGTGATTCTTTATATATTTTTCTAAACGCTCAAAAGTACTGGAAATAGCAAATTATTACGTATATAGGTAACTGATGAACCATATTTCTTAAATAATTATACATATGCGAGACTTCCAAGTTAACACTTTACCGACCGCTAGCCTATTAATCGGCTTTTTGTCGCCAACGCCTACCGACCGCTAGCCTATTAATCGGCTTTTTGTCATCATTTGTCAGAAATCATCAAATTTTGTTGGAAGTATGGAATAATGGCAAAAGAAGCGTAAATATGATCTCAACTATACATTCTGCACAATTAACAGAATCCAGAAACAGAAGTAAAAGATCAAACGATCCCATACAGAAGCCTAATTCAATCGTAAATTATAACAAATATATGAAGGGCGTAGATCGCGCGGACCAATATCTATCGTATTATTCCATTTTTAGAAAAACAAAAAAATTGACTAAACGAGTTGTAATGTTTTTTATCAACTGTGCATTTTTCAATACATTTAAAGCATACACAGTTCTCAACGGAAAAAATATTACGTACAAGAATTTCCTGTACAAAGTGGCAGTTTCGTGGATAGAAGATTGTGAAACTAATTGTGCAGAACAAGATGACGATCTACCTAATGAACGATCTACTTGAACCCACAAGAGGAACACCCAGATTAGACCATCCCGGAAGACTGTCGAATTTCGGAAAACATAAACTTATAAATATAGTGACCAGCGGTCGAAGTGTAAAACCTCAAAGACAATGTAGAGTTTGTGCAGTTCAAAGAAAAAGAAGTAGAACATGTTTTGTCTGTAAATTTTGCAATGTTCTACTACACAAAGGCGACTGTTTTGAATTTGATATCATACTTAAAAAAAATATTAAACTATTTCTTATTTGAAGTATGTCAATATATAGATTATGGTATATTATATAACTATTTAACTGAAAACCGTTGTAATAGATAAAATAAATATAATTTAGCATTAATATCATCAAAATAAAAGAACTTATTAAATCGAATTATCCTATAATAACAGAAAGCGGGCAAATTTATCTTATCATACAAAAAGCACAGATACTCCCGCGCGACAGTCTAAACCGAAACAGAGCCGGAGGATTTGCGGCCGGTCGGACGTGCGTATGCTGTTGAACCGCTAGCGGTCGGTAAAGTGTTAATTACTACATTAAGTGACGCTAACAAACGATCGTTTGAGACGGAGGGCAAATTCGGCACCGGCGCTTAATCGTCGAAATGATTTTTTGGGCAGCGAAAGGGCGATCACTCGAGTCGCGACAATAGACTCGAGATATTCTCGAGTCGCACCACCCACGTGGTTCTCGGCACGAGGCAGTATCTCCCACGGCGCTGTTGTCCGTTTTGCTTTGCATTTCGAATTACGGCACATGTGTCGATGAGCTTACGTTTCACGCTTCAAACGGCGACAAGAGCGACCAGCGAATAATAGCATTTTCGTCCTATTTCGACCTCTTTTCAGAACCTCCAGGACTCGGAGGCAGAGAAGGCAATAATGGGCTCTATTGTGTACTGCATACATCATAAGGATGGTTGCAAATGGTCGGACGAACTGAGGAAGCTGAAGGTAAGATCATCATCTTGATCTGGTATCTAATATCAGGTCGAATATTGCTCTCTACACCGATCAGTTGATATACGTATTAATTAGTAAGTAGCTTCTTATTAGACTGTTTTGATATCAACGATGATGAAAACGTAAACAGTACGCATCAAGAAGATGAATGAAGGTGCTGGCTCGATACGATATCAAGTCGATATCAAAATAATCTAATAAAAAAGTTACTAGTTAATATGCATCATCAAATGACCGGCGTAAACTGGGTCATAAACCGGGCCGAATTTCGGCAGGCCTCTGAACATTCAAATTTTGCTTTCACCAGGCACACCTGAACACGTGTAAACACGATGCGGTCCCTTGTGGCAACAAATGCGGAGCGATGATACCTCGTGTGCTCATGGAGGACCACCTGAAGTACACCTGCGCCCAGCGCAGGGCTCGTTGCGACTTCTGTGCCAAAGAATTCACCGGACACACCTTGGAGGTATGATATTAAACCCTCCGATTTGAATGTTAGTAGTGATTATTACTCTAATTTAAATATTAGTAATGATTATTATTAATATGAAAATACGTAATACGATGTACATACTGAGTTGGCCGGAAAATTCCAGTAGGTGTAAAACCCACGATAAATTCCGATTTTCAGTGTCCCGGACTTTATCTAATGAAATAAACTGGCAAGAATAGACAGATAAAAAGGGACTAATATATAACACATACATATATATTTTACATGATTTCATATAACGATATTATTACTTTAATTAATAAATCATATTAATCGCTATGATTTAAAGAAAAACGAAATCAATATAATAATAGTTTCTTTTTCTAATTCAAATCAATATGTGAAATATATTTTTAAAACAAAAATTTGGGAGATATAAATAAATGTCATTAAATATTATACTAGTTTTAGTTTTTAATTTAATAAGATAAACAATAGCAATAAAATTACAATTTTCACCAATATAAATTTGATTTGCGTTTACGTTTATTTTAATCTTATTGCACTTTTGAGGATACTGTTTTAGTCATAGAGCTTTTGTACTTACTAATATTCCACGAGCGATACGTTTTTGCTTATTGACTTTATCAACAGAATAAGATACAAAGCAAGTCCACGTTATCAATAGAACAAGATACGAAGCGAGTCCACACAATGTCGTTGTCTTCTGATGCATTTCTCAAATTACTCATGTTAACTGACTATTTCATCAGTAAATGATAAAAGCATAATAATCACTTTTACATAGCTGTGTGACAACATTCATAGCAAGTATAAACATATCGTGTGCTATTCACTTATTTTTTACATGCAAATACATACAAATTCTTGCGCACAGGTGATCCGTTCTTTATAGCCGAACTGGCTGTACTAGTTCGAGAAATTTATATACACATTGAAACATACGAAGCGTACGTACAAGATCTTCATGTTTCAGTGTGTTTATGTGTGTCTCAGTGTGCTGTAAATTTCTCGAACTAGTGCAGCCACTTCAGCTATTTTATAAAAAAAAAAAAAAAAGAGAGAAAAAAACAGCCAGGATCATAAATAAGGTTATAGGATGCTAATGGGCTACTTATGAATCGTTTTTAAAACAATAAAATAATTGGGAAACCTTTTCATCGATGTTCTAATACATAAAACGATCGCTTCTATCGTTTTTAGTAGAAAATACCGATTTTTGCCGGGTTTCCTTTCGGAAGATAACAATTTTTACTGGACCTTGTTGAAAAAATCTAGAATCTTGCCAACTCAGTATGCCACGTCACAGATAGTGGAAAATTAACGGTGGGTACGTGCACGTTTGTAGAAGCACACGGGAACGTGCGGCTGCGAGCCTCTGTACTGCGAGAACAAGTGTGGAATGAAAGTGCAGAGAAGACACCTTGGTCAACACAAGCTGGGCGAATGCGCCAAGAGGCTGGTCGCTTGTCGCTATTGCAACAAAGAATTCGTGTTCGATACGCTCACTGCTCATCACGCGAAATGTGGCCGATACCCGGTCGCGTGTCCCCATCGTTGCGAGACCGCGGTGTTACCCAGAGAAGATCTCGAGGTGCACTTGAAGGATCATTGTACCACACATCTGCTTTCCTGTACATTCAAGGACGCTGGCTGCCGCTTCAAGGTGCGTATTATCACTTGTCTTAGCGCATTTGTCGTTTGGCTTCTTCGTTTCGGGAGAGATAAGACGATGTTTGATTTAAAATAATTTAAGATAAATCACTGGCCGATAGCTTCATCTTTCTGAAACTGGATGGAGTCCAATCCTCGAAACAACGTGTGTCGATTCCAATTGACTCGTCATTCTCTCTCTCTAGTTAGATTTTCATTCCAAGGCCGAAAGGTGTTAAGCCCACGATCTGTCTGTAACAGGGTAATAGGTTTTCGCTTGACAAACATCTGGAGGAGTCCGCGAAGATGCACCTGAGTCTCATGTGTAGCCTCGTAACGAAGCAGCAGCATCAAATAACCAGCCTGAAGTCGGCGATCAGCAAACTGTCGTTAAATTACACGGGCACGCTCATATGGAAGATCACGGACTACGCCGCCAAAATGTTGGAGGCCAAAGCGAAGGAAGGGATGGAGCTTGTCAGTCCACCCTTTTACACTAGTCAATACGGATACAAGTTGCAGGTGCGTGTCGCCGAGTATCATACAATTGCGAACACAATTCGTCGTTTAGTTCACTAGCTTGTCGAGAGAAGCTGATTTCTCCGTGTTTTCGCAGGCTTCGATATTCTTAAACGGGAATGGGACGGGGGAGGGCAGTCACATCTCGATATATATCAAGATCTTGCCTGGCGAGTACGACGCGCTCCTACGGTGGCCGTTCTCGCATAGTGTCTCGTTCACGATGTTCGATCAGACGGTGATCGCGGAGAAGGCCTGCAACATCGTGGAGAGCTTCATACCGGACCCAACCTGGAAGAACTTCCAGAGACCGAGCCGCGAGCCGGACTCGCTCGGCTTCGGCTTCCCGCGATTCGTCTCTCACGAGATGGTGAAGAAGCGACATTTTATCAAAGACGATACCATGTTCATTCGAGTCAAGGTGGATCCTAGTAAAATCGTAGCGGTCTAGAGACTGACGTTCACGACGACGACGACGACTGGTAATTTTTTTTTTTGGGACGGTGTCTCTCGAACGGACTTTGTGATATTCCCGAGTACTTGTTTAGATAAGGCAGTACAGTACTTATCTTTGTTCGTAAATAACGCGCGATAGTTCAAACGCCGAATCGACTGAAAGTACACTGAGGAACTACGCGTTGCCCTTCGATGTCGAAACATCCGAAAAATTCGAAAGAGGTTTTCTCTCTTTTTTTTTTTTTTAATCTATTGACTTTCGTCATTGTAAGAAACACTGCCGATACGATTATAGAATTAATAATTTATTGACACTACCAAACGATACGCCAGGCTGCATTTACGCGTTCTTAGTCTTTTTAATCTTCCGTATTGTATCTCCTTCGCAGAAACTTATTGTCACGTAATTCTCCTGTCACTCTGACGTCACAATTTAAACGTATTGTGAATTCGACATTAACATTACTAATTCGTCACGGTGCGATATTTTCACTGTCAAGTAAGTTCGTTGTCTCAGCCTGATTTGTCATTCACCGCGCAAGATTACCCGTACGTGTATCTGTAAGAGATTCAATAAACGAGATCGAGATGTCTCGACCTTCTCCTGCCGAGTGAGAATCGTCTTATAATCGTGTGACTTAAAATTATTCTTAGGGACAGAAATCAAAGATCGCTAAAGGATTGTGGCTTAAGCTTCGAGTATGTAAATATAGATTTGGAATGCCATACGATAATGGGCACAAGATATAAAATCGATTCAGAGTTCACCAATGTAAATACGCACTTACCACATATGATAACGAAAAAATGTGATAGAGATATACTAGTGAGCATATGTAACGACTTGAAAGTAGGTCGAATAAAACTGTAACATAATATTTGTATGTAAATATATTCTGCTTTTTTATTTCCTGTACTTCCTGCATTACTTATGTTTAATTTAATGTGATTGGCCTAAATATTGAATTATATATATATATATTAATTTTTTAGAAAAGTCTACACTGCGTGAAGATGAAATATCGAAGTGAATATTTGCGTATATACATCCGGAAATAGAGCATAAAAAATTACAAAAAAAATATTCAATCTGCTGATAACAATTGGTAATTCGACGTTACCTTCCTCACGTACTTCCGTTATACTGAGAACTTGCTCCTCCTGAATTTGCCTGTAAATTGAGACAAAGATATGACAGAAAGCAGCAAAATGATAATTATCGCATCAATGTCACATTAGAACAGTCAAGCTGGTAAGAAAGAAATAATTTGCTACGTTAAGAATGCTATAAGTAAAATGCAATTTCAAGATCTGTACTTACAGATTGTATTCGTAACATTTGATCCAATGCATGTGGCAACAATGGACGTACTCCATTGATTTCCATTGCGGTGAGATGATCTAGTCTTGCATGTACTCCCTCGCTTTTCACAAAAGCATCCACAGATGTGCGTAATTTTGACATTCTTATATCCCATATATCCTATAATACAAATTATAATTAAAAAAAAGAACATTAAATACATTCTCTATTCAAACGCTTCTTTAATTAAATCTACTTAAGCAGCAATTACCTTTACAGCAATTCTTATATTATCTGCATCAGGTATATCATCGTTTGCCACACTCAGTAAGATTTGACTCTCATCAATGTAATGATAACTTGGCATCTCTGTGAATAACCTAATATTTCGGGAAAAAAGAATTATATATTATATTATCATATAAAATTATACATAATTATATATAATTTATATATGAATTTTATCTCTATATGGCTACATGTACAATTATATATATCCACACAAAATAAAAATATTGTTGAATGAAAAGCAGAAGAAATATTTTGATTGAATTAAGTATTTATATCGTGGGCAGCTGTAAATATAAGCATTTATTTCAGCTACATTCGTATAATAATATTTTTTAGATGTAGAACATATAGAATTATATATGATTATATAGTATATATAAACAAAATTCATATATAATCATTTTTTCCCAAGATATTATCTAATATATTATTAAATATATATACATTACCTAATATATATATGATTTAATATATTACCTAATATATTACAATAAATATAAGTAAATCGCAAAATTCTAATAAAATCCAGGAAAAAAGGATCATATGTGAGATTTGACCATATATGACTATATATAATCATATATGTCCCCAACAAAAAATATTGTTTACAAATTATATGTAAATACAATCGAAATAAATACTTCTGGCTTCTGGCAGCATATGATATCGACAATTACACGACATCATTATTTCGTGTAGACATATATGATCATATATGTAACCATATATATGGGCAAAATTCATATATGATTTTATATAATTGTATATAATCATACATAAGCATTTTTTCCCGTGATATCTTCACACATTATCAGTTTTTGAATACCTGGCATTATTGAAAGAAGAAGTTCAAATTTCTATAAAGATATGACATAATGTATTAGGACACATTAATATAGTAGCAAAAATAGAAAAGTTTCAGAGGAAATATGTTGAACGTGAACTGTAATTTATTGGAGACTTAATTCAGACGACAGAAGATTTAATATCGTCGCGCGATATTGAACAGCCGGTAATAAATTTCTGGCAACTACTCACGTACTTCGACAACTTTTCCATCTCTTTCCTTTCGTTCAGGTCCTCGACTTCCATCCAGTCTTGATTGATGATACGACATTTTTGCTTCTGCTTGAGACAAACGGCGAGCCAAATGGGCACTTTAACAGGCAGACCGGCGCGAAATGGTCCTACCGAGCCCGAGATCAGGTAGATTACGTCCAGATTGAAGTTCGGTATTATGCTGACCAGTTGCTTCTCACCGAGAAATTCGACTTCACTCGGATCCATACTTCGTTTGAACCTTCAAACCGTGTTAAATTCATTCCCTCATATTTGCACGCCCAAAACGTGCTCCGTTACGTCCAAGACTTTCGAACACTACACTGCAACAAAAGCTGACCAGCTGAAGAAGCTGCCTAACGCCATCTAACGGATGTACCCAAACGCCGAAACGGATCAACGGCCTGCCTGGCGCCATCTAGCGGAACAAACTTTCGCGTATTATCGGGAGAAGAGCGGGAAAACGAGTAACAACGGAGGTCGCCATATTATCTTCCGCTACTTGTTGCGTTCCGAATGCGTCGGAGACTCCACCCCTGCGTTTTAACTTCTCTTCAAGAAGTTTACAACATTTACGTACTCAGTTAAGTCTGTAATTTTTCGTTTTAACTATTCAGTCTGCCAGGCATTTGGTTATTATACATCCCTACGACTTACGGCTGGTCGAAAATTTATTTCATCCAGAAGTAAGATGGATATCGTCCTTCTTGTTGGTCAGTAAGGTAATTAAATGTTTATGCACAATGTTCTCTTGCAATTAATTGCACAAGTATAATAGATTACGTCAGGGTTTATTGAATATCCACACGCGTTAGGAATTCGAGGAGTAACAATAAGTAGTGAGTACATGTATGTACACACACACACACACACACACACATATGAATTACACACTTTAGTGACACCGATTTTCTTTGCTGTAACGCGATAACATCTACGCATTAACGTCGATTAAACGTCAAAAACGTTCCGAATGCGCTACTGTACATACGCGTGCTCTTTTCACAGCTGGCTTGTTTATTCGCACGGTCATCACGATGAAGCCTCTTAAAAAGTATTTGGAGTCTTATAACTAAGGGAGGACTTGTACCTATAACTTATATAACCGGGGGACTCTTATAAATATATATATATATATATATATGAGAAGCATTCTTAATTAAAGATGACGGTAAACGGTCATGCTGACGTTAAACATGGTCGATGCGAAATAAATACGTAACAAAGGCGAGAGAGAGGAACAGGGGAGCACAACTATAAAATTGATCAATCTCGTTAACATTCACGTCAACAATCGGCCATTGTACCGGGACTAATTGTCCTGATTGTACACAAACGGATATAGTTGGCTTTCGCGTCGCCTCATCCGTCATCATGGATTGATTATCCGACCGCCACATCGATCCTGTCCCTAGACTCCTCGTCGGGCGTTGAGAGCCGCAGAGCGAAGTGGAAGTGATCAGAAGTGGCTTGATTCACGTCGGCCTCGATCACGAAGATCGACGCGGGCGGCGTTTCCTCGACGTGACCCTCCTCGGCCGGCAGGAGCGGTGCCAGCGACTTGTACGTCTGCAGTTCCATCGAGGAGGTATGAGCCGCTTTCTCATCGGCATCGTTAATAGATTTCTCTTTGCTCGCCTGTTCGCACGGCGCGGAATTGCTAATTATCACAACAGTTCCGACGGCGCTGATGTCAGTAGTATCTTGACGCTTCCCCTTTTCCCGCAACGACGACGTGCGCCTCTCGGAATACGCAGCGCCTATCCTCGTGTCGCCGACGGCCTGCAATGCAATTAAACAGAACGAACACATCTATACGTGAGCGGTTATTTGGAGTTTTTCGAGTGAGGATAATTAGGACGATCAAGTTACGTGTGTGAGTTACGTGCATATACCGTACATACCCACACAGAGAAAAAAGTCTCTTTGGATTTGGAGTATACGTGTTTGCTTGACACTTGGGTTTGTTTAATATAAATAACATAATTTAGTATCAAATATCATTTTGTTTAAATGAAAATGTTGTTTCATTGGAGTGTGTGTCATTTGATCGAAAAACCGTGTCATTTGATAGAAAAAAATGGTATTATTTAGAGGAAATAATGTTTGGCTTTCGTAAGAGAAAAATTTATCTCATTATATATTAAACATTGTCCCACGGAAAGAAAGAGGTTCTTTAATATTCTTCTGACATAAAATTACTTTTTTTTTCAAATAATTTGTTACTCGTGACAAACCATTGTAATGTTTGAATGAAAATATAAAAGAAATATATTGTTTGACGTGAAGATATTTATTGCTTGAGAAACTAAACAATTCTGTTTATTGAATCAAACATTCGCTTATTTGCAACATTTGTTTGCTCCATCCCAAAAAACAAATTTGTTTTTTGATTAAAGAGATCTTGTTAAATCCAAAGTACAGTTTTAAAAAAAGCTCGGAAAAATCCAGTATTTTCAAACCTTTCTCATTTTTTTTCGAGCTTTTTCTGCAGATAAATTAAAAAATCGAAAAATCCCGGACTTTTAAATTTTTCCGCGGATTTTTTCGATTTCTTACGCGAGTAAAAATTGAAAGGAAGCAGTTTTTTTTTTTACTGTAATCGAAAGAAATCTTTTTCTCTGCATATGCATGAAGAAGAAAGATGATTTCCTAAAAATTAAAACGCATTTTGATTGAGGGAAATAGAATTTCTGGCCGTAAGAACCAAAGGGGGCTATACATTTCAGGCGATTTGGGCGGCACGTCCGAGTCCGAGTCGAGTCCATCTTTTTCTTTCAGTCAACTCAGCAAAAGAAATTGAACAAGGAAAGGTGAACCCAACATGCTCCCTGGGTGCTCCCTAAATCGTCTGAAATGCATACTTTCCTTTCGGTACATAAGAAGAATCAGAAACACCGTTTCCTTCCAACCGAAACACTGGTCGGTTCGTTCATTGTCACGTTAATTCGACCGTTCTTTCTTCCCCGTGTGTAGACAAAAGACTCCACTTCGGCGTGTAAATCGTGCGAAGGTTGAAAGCGTGGGAATGAGACGCGCAAAGTGGAAGGATTGCACGCACCTGGCGTAGCAGGCTCGACCTTTGGCTGCCCGGCTGAGGGAGGCCGCTGAGCCGCCTCTGAAGCTGCTGCCTCTGCGAGCCGACGAGTGAGCCCCGATCGTGGATCACGCTGATCACGCTGGACTTGACGTCGCTGTGCGGGAACAGCAGTCGCCACACGAAGTTCTTGAGCGCGGCGCGAAAGTCCTTGAGGTGGTAGGCGTAGAGAAGCGGATTCCCGACCGAGTTGATGTGCGACAGGATGATGCAGAAATTCATGAGGAAGTCGTTTACCTCGCACTTCGGGCAGAACGCCATCACGCAGTTGATCGTGTAGAGCGGGAACCAGCAGACGATGAAGAAGAGAACGATACGCGAGAGATTCTGCGTGGCCTTGACCTCCCGCTTGCGCGCCGCACCGAGCACCCGCAGCATCGTCCCGGTCGCCTGATTATTCGCGCGACCACGGCGGAAACCACCGCCGGCGCTGACACGGCGACCGGCGCCGGCACCACTGTCGGGCTCCATCGTGACGATTTGCTGTAACTACGACCGTCGTATCTGTCATACTTTTTGGCTAATCTCTCACAGCCTCGCAGCTCGCCGCCTCGTTTCGCGCCTCCTCAACGACTGACCTGCTTCAGAATCACGCGGTATATATGGGCGTAAAAGGCGGCGATCAGTAAGGCGGGGAAGATGATGGTGGCGAAATATAGGAATACGAGATAGTCGTAGTCCATCACTTTCGTGAAGATGCACCTGTGGTCGTTCGTCTCTCCGGCGTTCCACCCGAGAAGCGGCAAGAAGCCTACCAACGTACCCGCTATCCAGCACACGCATATTATACCTGGAAGTACCCAGAGATTAATTACATCAAGACGTCCTGAGACGTCCCGAGTCGAAATTTCACTTCTACATTAAGTCGATTTCGTCCCACGAGAGCGTGTACATCACATTACACAGTCCTGTGTACAATAGGTGGTTAAATCCTGGCGTGTTTGATGAAGGGAGACGTCCTTCATTTCCTCGTATAGTAAATGTATTAGTAATGTTTCGACGCAGACCGGACGTAATCCGAGATGATTTTGATGCTGTGTTTTCGTTTTCGCATCCGAAATGCCCACAAATGTCATTACAAAGAGGCTGCTAATTATAGTGAAGCGTCAAAGACATTCCAAAAGTGAGTGGACGCGGTTTAAAACTAGTCGCAATATCGATGGTCTTGCAGAGCGCGGGAAAACGCGGATCCACGACATTGTGCGATGATAAGTACGTCACAGAGCAGTCCGAAATGGATTCACAATGAACTCTGCGACAAAAGCTCTAAAATTCTCGGCAAAAAAAATGTGTAAGTTAGTCTGACGACGATCAAGCGCATGGCGAAGTATGCGAGAGACAACTTGTTTTGTTTTTGTAGTCAAAAACGCATTGAGAAACGAATGTCATGAGCCTTGTCGATAATGACATTACGACTTTGGACTGGCTGGTAAATCTCCAATAGAAAACGTTTGGAGGTTTACGAAGAGGAAGCTTCAGGGAAAACGTATATTTAACCCGAAGCAGTTATGCTATCAAATCCGGCAAATATGGAGATCACTTTTCCTGAACTACGCTGGAAGACTAGATGAAAGCATGTTCCAAAGTTGTCTGTGATAAATAACAATGGAGACTGGACGACATATTAGGTAATGACGAAATAGACCGTTGAACGTAGTTTAAAACGATGTTTACTTTTTTCTAATTCTCATAAACCTTGCAGATGTGGTGTGTGCGTTTTTGTGGGACAGTGTACATGAAATCTTCAAAGGTCTTCCGTTGTGCTCCCTTTGATGCTACAAATAGGAAGTTATTTCCGTTTTCTCCATTTGAAGGCTTAATGTGGAACTTAAAATTTCCCCCGGGAGGTCTAAATTCCCTTTATAGCATCGAAGGAACATTATTAGCATTCCTTTGATGCTACAAATGGGAGGTTATTTCCGTTTTCTCGATTTGAAGACAAATGTAGAATTAAGTAGACTTAATGCAGAACTAAAATTTCGACTCGGGACGCCTCACAAGGACGCCTTTGAGACTGGACTGGTCTCTTCTTTTTAGCTGAACCTGCTGCACCAGTTCAAGAAATTTACACGCACATCGAAACGTACGAAGCATACGAAATTCTTATGCTTCGATGTGCGTGAATTTCTTGAACTTAATGTAGCCGGTTCATCTAAAAAAGATAGATTAAATGAGACGTCCACATATATTGCAAGGACAATTGGCCCTTTCTTTCCGCATGATGACGAAAACGAACACGTCCGAAGTGGACGGGTGTGTTTGCCGGCGGGAACGTTTCAGACGCTTCCGGGGATCACGTCTCCGTAGTTCCACGCAGACCCCGATTCAAGCTGATTCCAGCTGCGTTCTCTCGCTGGAATCGCTATCATATCCATGAAATCAGGAACTATTGAAATCGAGAGGCACAATACGCATCGGTCGCTGTTGGTGGCGGTGGGTTTCGCCGATGAATCGGCGCGCCGTCGTGTCGTTGTCGCGCCGTCGTCGACGTCGCGTCGTCGCGCCGACTACGCGTAGTTGATTCGTATAATGACTCGCGCTCGCCCTTCCGCCCGTTCGTTATCTATCAGCCATTCATCGCGATTAGCGCAACTGAACTTCATTTTTTTTTCTCTTTTTCACACTCACGGACTCTATCTAGTGCAATTTCCATGCGTGTGCGGCGGAGGCTTATACACACGCAGGCGAGGGCTCCTTATCGATTCGCTCGATATACGCGGAAAATGATACTCCGTGGGGAAATGCACTCTATCGGAGAGCGCAACACGCGGGGAGCGACGTTCCGAAATGTTTCCGAGGCGCAGAAAATTGACGGCCCGGCGTTCGAGTCTCCCCCTCGTTTCTCTTTGAAATCCGGTTCTCTTTCGGATCTAATCGAAAGTCCGGCTTCCGCGGCTGAAGAGGAGAGAGAGGCTGTCAAGAGTATTTCTAGGATATACGATTCAATCGAACAGCGTCGGCGGTTCACGCGAATGTTTAATGAAGGCGTAGCCGATGTAACATGACATCACGCGACGCGATTTGGAGGGAACACCGCGCGCACGGACAATGTCGCGTGATCGCTTCTATCTGAGCGCGTGCCGGAAATTGGGACCACAGCCGTTACTGTCCACAGTCTCTCGTTCCTTTCGTTAATATCGGCGTGACCGATGTTAATTAATTCATTCCAAAGGGTTTTCCACAATGAGCCGGCCGGTAACAGATGAGAAGTCGGGAGCGAGTTGTAAGCGAGTCAGTAAGCGAGGAACGTTGAATCAATTCTTTGAAACATTGATTTTACGTGGATCTTGTAAACATTTCGACGTAATACTTTACGAATGTTTTCAAGCTTGATGATATTAATATTGCTAAATAAAATCACAGTCATAGTGGATATATCGGTAGATATATGTAGAGGTTTTATTTTTAATGTTTAGATCTCAAATATCGTCAATGACGTTGTATACAACATTGAGAACTACGTATTTAAAAACGTTACGTGTTATAAAATATCGTAATAACGTTGTGTTAACTCATTTCGTTCTTCTGTAGGGACAGCAAATTTATTTACCTTCAAACATTTTTTATCTAGGTAAAAGAAGATTCTAGTGTAGATCTTGTTACTGAAATATAGTTCGGACCTTTGCCTTTCAGAAAATAATTTCACCTGGCCACCACCCATCACCTCTCCCGACAGTAGGTGGGGATGGGGAATAACCTTGCAAAACACACCTTTTTAATTCATTGCCTCACCTTTTTCATTAATTAATTAAAAATAGTAACTAATAAAAAATTGAAAAAAAAAAGATGAAATATTTTTGCCAAAAGTTAAAATCGTCGAAAATAACGATTTACGCTATGATTGTGATTTACCAGGTGTACGTCAGGTATCGCTCAAGATAGACGTTCCAACTATTTTACAAAGGAAACGGCTGGTCGAAAAATTCTGATTTTAGGTTGTTTTTTTAGTTTTTTAGTAAATTTACTTCAAAACTTTATTTGAATCTCATGGATTTCAATATTTTTGCATGCCCAAAATGAGTTCATGATTTCTCGCTTACTGAGTAATGTATCATAGTAACAAGTCAGTAATCAGTGACTGCGTGGAGAAGGTAGTTCCATTTCACACGGCTTGAAACTTAGATTACACAATGATTGACCAATAAAAGGCAATATATGTCCGCCATATTTATCGAGAAAACCGACCAGAACTGACATCCCTCTGATCAGCTGGAATATCGTGACGCAACGATCTACTACGATTTATTCTGGATGCAAGTTTCCCGAGATTCGTAACATAATTCTAACTTGCCACCTTATTGCAGAAAGTCTTTGATTCTAAGTTCTCAGAGTGGTCACTGACGACCATCCAGCAAACGTCAAGTAACAGTAACATCACATCAATGTTATAATTTCCAATTCAACAATACAAACGCAATATAACACACGCTATACATAAAACAGTTTCATTGTTTAATGGGGAATTACAACATTAATATAATAGCACTTACTTGACGTTTGCTAGTTTTACGCTAGCCAAAGTGGCCGTTCAAGGCCGACTAAACTCGACGCCGATACGCTCGAAGGGCGAGAAATAAACTGCTCAACTCCGTATTACGAAAATAATTCTGAAAACGGATGAACAAGTGAGTGAAATAAATGAAGGCCGTAAGAAACGAATCATTCAAGCGTCCTTTGCATTTCAGAATTCGAGGAGCGCGGACGAGTTGGGGTTCAGTCGCCTCGGATGGATCAACGCACGCGTGTCTGTGTAATCGCGTAAATCTCGCGTGACGCGAGACGCACCTGACACCGAGCGTCGAATTAACGACGTCATCGGAGAGAGGACAGTCGCGGTGGTGGGCCTCACCTATGGCAGTTTTGGTGCGCACCGTGCGCGAGTATCCCATGGGGTGCAGTATCGCCCAGTAACGATCGACCGACACCGCTACCAGGCAGAAGATGCTGATGGTACACAGGACCACGAGGACCGACACGGTGAAGAGGCAGGCGTGCAGATTCGTCGGCAGGCCGATGCTCGCCAGGATCGCGAAGGGGATGGCGAACAGACCGACGAGCAAGTCGGCCGCGGCCAAGGAGACGATGTAGTAATTGGTGCGTCTGCGTAACTTCCGCTCCTTGCCGAAGACCAAGATCACCAGGCCGTTACCGAGGACGGCGCAGATCGCCACGAGGATCTCGCACACGGTGTACGGCAGATTCAACTCCGAGCCCGCGAAAGTGGAGGAATCGTTCGTCGGGACGGCCGTGTTGAAGTAAACCGAATGATCGAGCGACTCGCTCGCGTTCGATGGAGATTCCATCGCGACTCGGCGAAGGAGGGGGGAGGGGGTGGTTTATCGGCGCCGTCCGGGATGCATAATCCTCGTCGGTTTCACGGTGCTGGCTCAACGGGCGTGATTGCGACGAAGGGTTGAACGTGACAACGCGACGCTTCCCATCGACACCGGACCGGTGGTCATCGCGCTCTCGGTTGAAGCGTCCTTCAACAATTATTCTCTCGCTCAAGCCACCCCCCCCTTTTTCTCTCCTCGGGATGCTTCTCTCTTAAATAATCGCCGCTTCGTTTCTTCGGCGGCGACTTCGACTTTGCGAGCTGCTTGAATATTCAAATCTCTACAGCTTGACGTCACCTGCAGATCGACTCGGTAAATATCGCGGTATCTACTCTTCTCGGACTTTCGTCCTGCGTCGGAACGCGTCCCACCGCTGTGTCCTCCCGACGCTTAAAGCTCGCGCTCAGCGTCTCGACACTATCACATCTCTCACTATCCACACGCTACACCTCGCACTTGTCCTCTCTTCTTTCAATGATTCATCAATCTCGCGTGTCCTTGCGATCTCGTTAGCGGTTTTTTTTTCTTTTAGCGGACGTTTGATAGTTGCTTCGGCCTCGCGCAAGTTCCGCGCGAGTCGCGCGATCGTTTTCGCTCGCAGTGCGTCCGAACGCAGCACGAACGAACGAAGGATCGATCGGCCGGTCGCTCACTCGTCGCGTGATGCGTTAATCGCCGTCGTGTTTTCCGTTCATTACTTACGGAGCGACGTTCGAGCGCGGCGTAAGATGGATTTCCGCGGCGATATCATCTAATAAGGCTCGCGCCATGTCACGCGAATTCGCGGACGCGTCGGAAGTGAGCGAGTCTTGCACGCGTCGCTCGCGATCGTGATTACAATACGCGCGTGCCGTTATTATCCTTGTACCCGATCATTAGTCCCGGAGCGGACCGAAATGGCGAGTCTTCTTCCGCTCCGAACGTCTCCGCGCGGAGGCTGCGTTATCGCTCGCCGTTCGCCGGCGAAACCGCGGAGAGCCGCCGGTGAATTCGACCGTTGTGAATTTTCGCCCGTCGACACGTCATCGGGATGACGATCAGGATCCCGGAGCGTGTGTGTGTGCGCGTGTATGCGCCGTCACGTCCTTCCGTCGGCGTTACTGAAAGGGCGGGAAAACTTTTCGAGCCGCCTCGCGATAAGAGCGACGATCGATCGACGACTCTCTTTCTCGCACTCCACGGCCGCTACAAATATTTATTTTCCGCTAAGTTGCCTCGGACGAAAAAAAACACGCTCGATATGAGGTGTCCTTTTCTTTTTCTCTCTCTTTCTCTCTTTCTCCGTGCCGCGACACGCGAAGGGCGCGCGAAGCGCCGCTGGAGGATGGAACGCCGAACGAACGCGTCCGCCTTCTCAACCCCGTCGCGTGTAACTGAGGTAGTGAACTTTCCTCGTGGTAGAAGGGAACAGGATGGAAGTGGAGGTGGAATCTCCGGACCGACCGGCCGATGCTTCTTCCGCTTCCGTTGTCGAAACGCTCAAGAAACGCCAAGCAGGCGCGTGCGGCCGATGCGATCGCGCAAGTCGGTACAGCGAACAAACACAATAAGCGCACGCACTTAACCGCTGGCTTTCAAATACTGCGACCGACCGCCTCGGCCACTTCCTTTCCTCTCGGTTTAAATTTCGTAGATTCTGCCGTTTTCGCTCAATTTTTGCCGCTTTTGTGCTTTGCAGTTTTGAAGCTACAGTCCTCTCTCTCTCTCTCTCTCTCTCTTTCTCTCTCTCTCGGGAGGATCCTCCGTCGGGGAAAAACTCAATTTCACATCGTCGGGCTCGGGGAGTTCGCAATAGAAACCGGAAACTTGGCACGACTCCGGACTCCGGCGAGAAATCGCATTGACTCGACCGCTTCTTCCGATGCCTGAATCGCCCTTGGAAGTCGCCGGCAGCGGATCGAGGAAACAACATTCGCGGACCATTCGAATGCGGCGCACCTTCCGCGCGAAAGGCGCAGGCGGATGCACACAACGGCGATCGTTAATTAGTAAGTACGATCGCGCGCGTACGAACAAGCGGCGATAAACAGCCGCCAAGCGGCTTCCTCCTCGTCGGCCCGTCGCGAGCCGAACCGGACATTCAGATTCCCGTCCCGTTTATTGAGCGTCGATAAGATAAAACGGGAATAGAATTACCGCGTGAAGGATGACCGAACCCGTGCAAGTCTGTGCATTTTTCACTCTCCTTTCCGCAGGATTCTTCAGTACGCGTCGGTTACACGCGAGTGAGTGCACGTGCGCTCGGACATTCGTCCGAAAGGCGATATCGTGTCCCCGTGAACGCGCTTCGTCAGTGGAAGTCGCGAAAAATGAAGATCGTTTCGCTTCTGTAGGGCCGCGTTCTCCTGCGGAAATATTGTCCTCAGGGTAGAGCAAGGAGTGAACGCTGGTGGGAGCGGGTTTCTCTCATGCAAATAGTTTCGGGAACTAATGAGTAAGAAATGGCGAGCAAAAGGCAGTCCCGGACAAAGGCTCAGATATAGTGAAAGGAGAGTAAGGGAGGAAGAATTAAATATATATGTGTTAAGAATAAGGAATGCAATTTCGACATATGGACAACCATACTTCAGTCCACGATAAGAGAATAGATAACTACCTCGATATATGCTTCCGAGAAATACAAATTGATTAGCTAGCCGTTACCCAACGTTGGGCAACGGTTAGCTTATTGTGCTCTCGGGTTGTCCCCACTGAGCAAAAGATATTAAATCGATCTTTTAAAACATCGATTTCGTGTGAATGTTATCAACATTTTAATATGACATTTTATAAATGTTTTTAAACTGTTACTTGATAATGTAATATTTCTAAACATTAAAATCATGATGAAGAAATATGATTTTTAACGTCAGTCAAATATGGCTAATAATGATATTATGTTACACAACATTAAAAACTATATATTTGAAAACGTCAAAAATGTTATAAAATATCATTGTAATAATGTTAGTGACTTCTTGGTTACTGAGTCTGCATCGTAATTAGCATAAGTACGTGAAGATGCTTTTTCATGCAACAAGAATATTTTTCAGGGTGTCTCAGATCAACACGGATAAACTTAATGAGGGCGTAGAATGGATTGAGATGAATAAAAAGTCTTCTAACATTTTGCAAACAACACGTCGAATTTTGAGTTATTATTCATTGAAAATGGCCATGTATAAAGACTTTCTTAATTAATAACTTAAAAATTTATGTGTCATTTGCAAAATGATGCAGAACTTTTTTATTCAGAGTATAATCTACAAATGTGTGACAGCTGTTATACCTAACGACATCGTTGTCACCATTGGTACACTTCGAACGTTTCCGAACGGCGCGAGTTTTCACGTTAACACCCAGGTGAAGTTGTTGAACGCGACCTGGCTCTGCCGAATGCCTCGTACAGTAAATACAGATAGACGCGAGGCGTTTCGCCCGACAATTCTAACAACAACGAGCAACAACGAAAGTAACAACCACCGCGTGTCCGAGCGACGCGTCGCGAGGAAGCAACGGAAAGCCGGTTCAACCTGGACATTCCTGCCGAGTGGCTTTAACGAACAGTGAACGGCTCCATTCGTGGTAATTCGCGTGTACTCATTGTCCGTAACTGGCGTATAACGGAGCGCTTGACATTGCATAAAGGATCTCTAATTGCGCTGTGGAGCTAAATGCCTCCTCTGTCGCGCGCGACGCGCGCTGCCACGAGAGCGGTTGCCGCGCGCGATCTAAATCGAAAATGGGTCGTGTTCGCGTTACACCGGCCATGTAAACACACCCTGGAACCGCGGGTTATTTAATGGTTTAATACGACTAATGCATCGTTGAAAAATGAACCGAGGACTCAACCGAGCCGATATTTTGGTTTCCTACGTTAAAGCGTCCCGCGAATTCTGCCGAGTTTGATGGACCGAATCTCGAGGTACGATACCGTACAGCCTATTATCCTTTGATGCTACAATTGCTTATTTGTCACACCATCGTCGGATAATTCGATAATTCGACCGAAGATCCGGGATGTTTCGAGAACGTCCGCCGTGTCGGCCACCGAGTGTACTCATTATTGAATGGAGAACGACATATATGTCGTGATGTACATCGGTTCGCCGCTAGCAATTCTTGTTGGCTTTTCAAATATTTAATCGAGCCCACGTCGGCATCGCATTAATCAATACGCGTTTCTCAGATCGTGTCTACGCAAGTGTCACTATTAGGAACGAGTACTTGGAGCGGCCGAGAGTGGGATGGTGGATCGTAAAGTCAAGATGAAAGATGTAGGGTGTGGTAACGATACGTCATATATTTACAGATGTGTCAAATCATTTGACAAAGTGTTTTCGATCTTAACGCATGTCCAACGCGTAAAAAATTTCCGGTAAAAAATTTTTCATATGTAAAATCATAGAGAAATATATAAAATTATGTATAATTCCTTTTATGATTGTATATAATTTTACATCAAAGTATACCAAGGTGATATCAAGAAAATTAAGTGGCAGATAAATTAAGGGTAGGTTGAGAAATAAAAGCCACAAGATACGAGGAAAAGATATTTAAAAGTAACAAAAACTGTTTTATAAAGGATTGTTGAAAAGAAAAAGAGACCTATGAATGAAAAGATAAATATGAGATGAAAAGAGAAAGATATCATAACAGGAATAGATGGGACATTAGAGCGGTGGAGGAATTAAGAGATAAAGGAGTGAACATAGAGGAAATGATAATAAATAGGGAAAGGTATATATAGAGACAATAGGAGGATAGTAAAATTTCTGAAGCGAAGTTTAATAAAAATTATAGGATAATAGACAGAAGGAAAAGAGAGCCCAGTTACTTAAAAATAGAAAATTTCGAAAAGTTAAAGATAGAAAATAAAATTAGGGCTTTAGTAAAAAATGCGGAAATATGGAGGAAGTAAATAAAT